AGACAACATGACACAATTACATACCTCACTAGTAAACCATATACCTTTTCTGTCTTCTTTGTTTTCACCTTTTTTGTTGTTACACGTGCCTTGGCAATGACTCTGGGTGAATAACTATCTTGTGCTGAAGCAACTATTTCAAACTCAAATGGCTCATGATGAGTGGAGGTCTCAATCTTCAATTTTGGCTGACCCCGTGGATTAGACTTCACTTTTGACTTAATCAAAAATGTACAATCAGGTTTCGCTAATTCCCTCAATTTTTGTAACAAAAATCTCTTCACATCTGGATCCACCTCCTCGAATTGTTTGGCAAACAATTCTAACTCAGGTGTACAAGTCCACTCTTCACTTACAGTGTGTGGGGTACTCAACATATCAATCTTAGTCCAATATGAATAAACCAAAATGAGGGGAGTTGGCCAATTTTCCCTCATGTAATTTGCTATCCCATGTGCACATGGAAAACCATGAGTACGTCGAACGACACATACACATGCAGTAATATCAATACTAATCGAAGATGTTCGTTTAGACTCTGCCAATATGATCTCTAATGCAGTAATTGAGACATTACCACGAAGCTCCTTCAACTACGTAGGTTTGAAATCATGTTGCACAACTATCTTGCTTTTCTCAAATAATGATTTTATTTCACTATGCTGCAACTCAAGTAAATTGTGTATCCTTGTCCAATTCGACTCAAAATTTCCTTGACTTGATCTAAGATATCTTTTAAGTTTTGTATGTGAACTCTCAACCCTATAAATGAAAATAAACTATTATAAAAATAATGTTATAAAAAACCAAACAACTAATAAATTTAAATGTTCGTATTTACCTATTTGTTGTAGAATTTCCAAAGTGCATAAATGTGTCAGTCCAAGCAGCCACAAATTTCTACTTATATGTATCCAACCAAGATGAGGTAACATAATGAAGTGCATCTTGATAACTACTAAACTCACTATATAACAAAGACAGTCGTTGCGTATATACTTCTTCAGACGATGACAAAACCAACATATTCCAACTCATTATAAACATTTCCCATTTATCCTTTGTCTCAAACATCTTTTTGCAATTAGCAAGCACATTTTTTCCAATATGCTATCTGCACAACAAATTTGTAGTTGCAGGAAACATCGTACATATGGCATTCATAAGGGCCAATTCTCTATCTGTGACAATAACAAACGGAAGAGTATTTTCATCGATGACACTACACAAAATACCAAGTGCCCATGTGTGTAGTTATCTTCCTTCTCATACTGGAGGTATGCAAATGCAACTAAAAAGGTCATGTCTGTCGATGTCACACCTACAATCTCCAAAAGGGGCAACTGATATCGATTGGTCTTATAAGTACAATCCATCAACAATACTTTTGGAAATGCATGTAACAGATTCAAACTAGTAGGATGTGCAAAGAACAAATCAGTCACTGTCTCAGTATCTGCACAGCTCCTATGCCACTCAATGTATTTGTTCACCGCTAACTAACCTAATAGTTGTTGCATTTGAGATCTCCCAGCTTTCTTAGCAACTTTATACCTATGACGTGAATTTTAAATTGTCTTCATTGTGGAAGCATTTGCATCATCATGTTGTTTTAATGTAACCAATATCTCACTCGGTCGTACTATACTCTTCAACATGTCTACCAACAAAGAGGTTTCCTCATGTGACAACCTTCCAGCATAAGAATGACCCTCAAGATATTTTGCAAGAGGATGATAATGCACACCACAAACAACTATCAAGATCTAGTCATCATTTGTGGCTAATTTTTTGCCTTTCAATAAAAAAAGACATTCACATTTTTTTATACCAGTCAGTCTTGCTTTTTTTTTTTGTCTTAGGCTTGCTGTTTTTTCGAGTGTCCCTATAATATCCACTCCTCTCACAAGCTAAGCTAAGTCTTGGCTTCCTACCTCGAATACCACCCCCATCTGATTTCTGCACGACAATAACGAATCCATTTCTTCTTCCAACTTGACGTGCCCATCAAATTAACACATCTCGACTCTTGAATATCTAAAATAAATAAATCAATCAAAGACTCACCTCATGAGTAACAAATCCATTACTATAATCCATTACAAGTTTTGAATCAACCTTACTGCCTTTAGTTGAAACATCACGCTAAAAACACATGTGAATGTAATTTCAAAATTGAAAAAATGATGCTCATTTCAACAGTCTTGAAACTAATGATTTTGTTCAGTTCAACAGTGTCGAAAATAAAGATGATATTTGGTTTAACAGTACTGACTATCTGCATTAATGTTCGGAACCTATGTATTGAACGAAAGGATTATGTTCAATACTGTATTACCGAACATAATTCTAATAGTCAGCAAACCAATACCGAACAGCTCAAACAAAACAAGAACGATTGAAAACGACCGAGAATGTTAATACAAGATAGATAAACTTAGCAATGGTTACCGGTCTCACTAGAATTGTTGTCCTCGTCCTCCATTGCTCTACACAGTGAAATAAGTGATGAAGTATACGTTATACTTGAAGCAAAACTTTTAAGTTTAATATGGTTGATGATGGTGATGAAGATGACACATTCAAGATTTAAGATGATTATGAAAAATAATAGATTTAGGGTTTATGTTGGCTGGTTATGAAAAGTAATAGGTTTAGAGTTTACAAACATGGAATACGTATGGTTGGAGTAAGAGTTAGAGTTGGAGTTGGAGTTGGAGTTGGAGTTGGAGGTGGAGATGGAGATGGGGTAGAGGTGGGTGTCCAATATTATAGAATATTAGTTCTTATTTGATAGGTGGGTGTTCCATTTAATAATGTCTTTTAATGTAATTTTACTTTAGGGTATAATTGTAATAAAAAAAAATTAAAAAATGGGAGGTCCAAAGAATTTTGGCGGGTGCTAATAACAACACTCTTTGTAAAACATTTAGAATCCCTAGCATTACTCAATTAATATTCCATTCTATTTCATCCTATACCATCTCATTTTAATGAACCAAACAGAGTATTAGGACATTTAATTCATACGCTAAGTGCTAGATTTTAATTTACGGAGAAAATAAATTTGGGATATAAAAGGAAGTTGAATAAAGAATTGAATACTTGAGAAATTTAAGATAAAGATTTTAAAAAAGGTATGAGAGATTTTAATGACAATCTATCTATCCATGGAAATTTCATTTACATAGGATGAAGAATTTAAGTCTTTGCTATATTTCAAATAGGAAAATGATCCATCCTCACAAAAAATCTCCTAAAAAAAGACCCATTTATAGACTTCGACCCGTAAGAGTTTAGAGCTACAGAGTAAGTGAATAGACCATTGCTGGTCAGAGTCTACGAAGCGGTGCTTTTGTGGAGATGTAGTACGACTCTTTAAAATAAGGGTTTGGCTTGTTTCAAACTCAAATTGAACTGAACAGTCCAATTCGGCCCATTGGGTCCACTTTTAAATCCCGTTTTAATGATTCGAACTGTTTATATTTTAGGGTTTGTCGGGTATATCATCCTTACAAAAAATCAAGTCGATCGGATAACAGAAGCCATGTGTTCGGATCAATTTTGTATAAACTTTTTATTTTCTCATAGTTCATTTAAAAAAAATAAAAAATAAAAAAACTGATTTGAACATGTAGTTGCCCTTATCCAATTGACTTGAATTTTTGCAATGATGATATACTCAACAAACCCTAAAATGTGAACGGTTTGAATTATTGAAACGAGATCAAAACTAGACTCAATGGACTGAACAACAACTCTTCAGTCTGATTTGAGATTGGAGAGAAGCCAGTCCCTTAAAATAATTTTATATATACATAAATAATTTAGTTAAAAATTATTATATATATTTATTCAAGTTATATATTTTACGGATCAGTGAAGTTTTAGCAGATTGGATGGTATTTTACACAGCCTTAGTAGTGATGGATGTCGTCTGAGGGTTAAAATTAAAATTACGGTTGAGCTTTAAAATTGATGAAGATAAGGTATATTTGATAATATTTTAAAAAATTATTAGTAAGATTTCAGGGGGTGTTTGTAGAGTAGTTTTTAAGATAAAAAATACAAAAACTTGTTTGGTTTACCTTTTTTCAGAAATAATTTTAGAAAATTGTTTTGAGGAGAGAGTTTTAAAAAAGTGATTGATTTGATGTGTATGAGAGAGAAAGTGATTTTGGAAAGTAGGTAACCAAACAAAATTTTGAGATTTTTTTTGAAAAAATTTGTTTAGTTTGATTACTCTTAAAAATTTGTTTGTAAAGAATTTGTTCTAAAATTTTTTATGAAAAACAAACCCAAGGCCGGCCTTGGGCTAAGGCTGGTAAGGCCTGTGCCTAGGGCCCCAAAAATTAGGCCCAAAAAAGGGCCCCCAAATTTAGTCTTGCATTGTATTAAAAATTTAAAATGGCTCAATTCTGTTTAATTAATTTAGGTCATTTTAAAGGGGGCCTCAAAAAATCTATTTGGCCCAATTGATAAAAGGCCTAATTAAAAAATATTTATAAGTTTTAGTTGTTAGTCCAATTAAAAAAATAAAATATAAAATATTTGTATATGTATTAGTCGTTAGTCTAATTTTGTGTGGCTTATTTTTTTCCCCTTCTTTATGGCCCAATTATGTGTTTTTTAATATTTTTTTTTGAAAAATATTTTACACAATTTTTATTTATTTATTTTGTAGATATATCTAATTTAAATACACTTAAAAACTATAATATTTATATTTTTTTAAAAAAATTGTTACCAAATACAAAAATATAAAAAAGAAATACAAATTACAACCCTAAACAATTATTTTTAAAAATTTTAAACCAAACAAAGTAATTTTTGCTTTTATTTTTAATAAACATCTAAAAAGATCTCGAAAAATTAATTCCCTTAGGTCTTCGGAAACTTAGGGCCGGCCCTGAACAAACCAATGCCTTTGTGTTTGGTGTGAACTTCGTAGTAAGTAGTGTGTAATGAGATATTCTGAGGCTATATAAATAAAGGTTGCTCACATATAATCTGCTCGTAAATCAAATTTTCTCGACAAATTTACTTCAACATTTCTTACTTGATAATCGTCATCCATCTACTTTACTGTTCTTCCATTTCGTCATCTCCAGGGGAAGAAAACGCAGGCTTTGAACAATTGGGTTAGGATTCAACAGGACCAAGAAAAATTGTTTTCTTTTTTCGAGTAAGTAGTTTATTATTTGCTATCATTTTATGGATTGAGATCCTTTACCTCATGTATTGAGTTCGTGGACAAACATTTTTTCGTAATTTTTTATTTTTTTATTTTTAAATCAGTCCACCAAAAGGAAGATTAAACGATCTGGTTATTCTCCAATGGGTTTTTTTTATTCCTTTTAATTGAAAATTTTAATTTCATATAAGAAAAATGCTTTTCATGGAAACAATTACACCTGAGATGAATATCCGACAAAAACATAATCTATGGATGGATGAAACATTTATTTATTTTTTTTTTAATTTTTTGATTGATTAAGTGATTGATTGGCAGGTTTTTGGAACTTTGAGTTCTTATAAAACCATTCTTCATCACATCGGTTTCATTGTTTTATTGGGTTGGGACTCAAACGGAGTGAGAACCATGCCTCCTCAGTCTTCAGGTCATTTTTTTAAGATCTAGGTTTCACTGTTTTGGATTTGCTGTTGTTATATTTCTAAAGGGTAAATTACAAATTCACCCGTGAAGTTTGTTTAAAATACGAATTAGCCATGTAGTTTGGAAAATGACAAATATTTCCTGTCAAAATTTTTTATTTAACAGAATTAATTGAAAAAGTGAAATTTTTAATTGTTCACCATACAATAATACAATTGTCTGAATTATTAATTGAAAGAAAATTTTAACATTATTAAAAACCGTTAATTATTTGATAATTTATTAATAAAAAGACGTATTTGTTATCAAATTAGAAATCTTAAGGGGCACAATATAATTTCTAGATTCACAAAGGTAATTTGTAATTTAAGTAAACTTCAGGGTGTGTTTGTAATTTATCCATTTCTAAATAGGGCAAATTACAATGTTAGTCCCTCTACTTTTGTCTCAATAATTTCAATTGATTTGATTTTTATTATAAATTTATGACTCTGTCTCAATTTGGTTCAATTTTTTATAACTTTTAACATTTTTGTATGGAAAATATGTACATAAATGGCATGTGTTGTATTTTTAATACCAAAATTATAAATTTACTCAACTGAGTGAGTTAACATCAACTAATTCAATGTTAATTTTTTGTAAAAACATTAACAGAATTATCAATTGGATCAAATTAATACAAAATCTAAAATTAAGGGTCAAAATTGAGTCAATTAAAACTGTAGAGACCAAATGACACGAGACAAAATATAGGTACCATCGGCGTAATTTGTCCTTCAAATTGTTTGTAATGCTTGGAAACAAGAGTAAAATGCTTTTATATCATCTTCCTTTTTTATTTTTTATTTTTTATTTTTTATTTTTTTGGCAATAAAATAGGTTTACTTGGAACTTTGGAAATTTTGATGGCATGAGTGGAGTCGGAAAAAAAATAAATTAAGGTAAGACTTGCTTGTCAATATTTATGTGAATTTTACTTATTCAATTAGAATCAATTTTTTATTTTTTGTACTTTATATTTGCGCTGTGTTTGGATAATCTGGATAGAAATTTGGATAGCAAAAGGAAAATAGAAATGGTGAAAAATTTAATTTATATTGTATTCACATTTCTTGTTACTTTTTCTTTCCTTTGCCAAATTCCTACCAAAATTCATGATCTAAACATAACTAGTTTTCTTTTTAATTGTTCAATCAATAGCTTCTCTGCTCTTGTGACAATGCTGCATATTTTTCATAGTAATTTGGTGAAATAATATATATATATATATTTGAAAAATTACAAATTCTTTTGATTCATTGTGTAACTCAGGTATTGGGTTGGTTGGTATTTTCTTATTATGCTTTTCGTGGTTAAAACTTGGTTCTTACGTGTTATGGATTGAAAATCTTTTCCAAAAATAATCTGCAAAGTAATTACAAACTACAATCTGTAGCGCCTGGATTTTTTGACCATCTTGTTTTTTTTGGAAAGGGGTCTTGAAAATCTGTAGCTAAAGTGGGTCAAATTGAAATGGAATTGACAGCATGGGATTCGGCTGTGTTAGGTCCACCTAAATATGAGGAAGTGCAATGCTTCAAAAGAAGGAAAGGAACTTTCAATCTTCACCTAAACCAAACAAAATCAAACCAAACCAAATTGAGCCTTTTTTTCCAATTTGGTGGGGTCAATTACATGAATGTGTATTTCCTCGTTCCACTCTATGAAGAGCTATATGCTCAATTATTTGATTTTTCACCCGAAAAAGTTTATATTTTCCATCTAAAAGAAACTAATTTCATGATATCATATTATTTGGTGTTCATTTTTTTGAATTTCACCGAGTGTGATTATACTATAAGGGCTTGTTTGATTGAGTGGATTATAGCATAGGATTGAGATTATTAATCTATGAGACTCACATTTCATTATTTGGTTGTAATTTTTGTTATACGGATTAGATTTCGCTACACATTCTATCCAAAAAAAATAAGTGAATTTTTTAATACTACAACTAATAATGCAAAACAAACATATAATTGGGATTATATATTTCCACATCCATTGCAAAACAAAAGTGGACATTAGGGAATTATTTCTCACTAATCTAACTCATATTAGAGTTTCTCTATAAAAGACTTAAGGTAAGACAAACACAAGGTAGGCAATATTCAGCAACCCTAAATCTCTCCTCTCAATCTCTCTCTCTCTCTCTACTCTTATTCTATTCCATCAAAATGAGTATTGATTGAACCATTGGAGGGCTTTTGGATGACACCACAGTGGTGTCACTAAAGACACACTTCTTTTGCAAGATTGGTGGATCAGCTCAGGACCATACAGATTTGATCTTCAATATATATATGCATGCTTCTTGATTTGATGGTCCGAACCAATTAAATTAAATGATTTAGTTTCCTTTTAGCTATAGTTCAAACCTATTAATACACTTCTGGCCATGTAGAATTTTACCTAGATACTTATATTTAGTAACCAGTGTTTGTGTGAAAACATGGCACTTGTTTCTAAGTTCAATAATCACGTAGATTATGGTTTATCCAAAAATAAAAAATAAAACATAATCACGTAGATTATGAGATTGAATGCAATTTTGATATTTATTCTCTTTTCCTAAATATGTTTAATTGTGGAAACACACATCACAAATACAACATTGCCTTTTGGTCCGCCTTTATTGTTACGAACTTCTTACTTGAATTTATATCTTGTTTTAGCTTTAGTACTAAATAAAATTACATTTATGTTAATTTCATCGATGATCAGTTGTAGTCCTATGATAGAAGTTATTGCTTGCCTTTTATGTGAGTTTTTCTAGTTCATGATTTGCAACCAAAGATATTCTTTAATTCTTGTTTGGATATGAGTAGTAGCAAACATACTTGTTATATGGTTTATTGTCATGGTCTAAAGAAGCCTTTTGGTTCAAATCTCTAGCCTAAACTCAAATCCTACAATTTGTGTGTAAACACTATGTTTCTTTCACCTGAATTAGGTGGATAAGAGTAATTCAATTTCTTGTAGGTAAGGGAATAAGGCATTCATTTATGCTTGCGAGTTTATTTGGATATTGGTATTCTTTGTATGGGATTAAGAATATGGTTCACAAAAAATGCTTGACACAACTAATTTATCACCCCTAAAACCCACCCCTAATGATGTGTCTGACAAGTATCAAATTTTGATTTGTCAAACATTCTATCATGTGGAGTCTAATCTCAATGCCACATCATTAGGGGTTATTTAGGGGTTGATAAATTAGGGGGATGTAGCATTGTTGTATGGTTGACTATTGGCACACCAATTTGATATGGAAATTTTATTTTACAATTTTATAATTTGATGTCTTTAGTATTTTAAATTATTGTTTAATTAGAGTCTTTTTAGTATTTGGTTTCCTATTTTGTTAAGAATTCTAAATTTCTTTTTAGTATTCAGATTTTTGCCTATAAATAAGAAGTTGTGGTAATTGTATTGGACATAGTTGATTAATAGATTTGTGTGATTTGGGTTGTGGCCCTTGTGTTTTTCCTCTATCCTTTCTCCCTCTCTATCTAAATCAATTGATCATGATGATTGATAGTGAAAAAGACGAAGAATAAAAAAAACTATTAACATTGTCAAAGGTGAAAAAAAAGGAAAAGATTAATTAGTCGTGTGATATGTATTGAATTGCAATACAATACCAATTCATACATTATAGAAACATCTCTCATCATTTTAGTCACCAGCAATACGACCAAAGATTAAAGTAGCCGAGCCCGATTTGAATTTTTTTTCTTATTTTTATATTTGCAATGGAATATCATTTATTTTTTGTTATATTAAAATTTCACTTTTATTCCTAATATCTTATGAGTGTGGTGCGTTGCTTTTTTATGAATGTATATTTATCTCTTTAACCAATTTGGAATTTTACTCACAATCTGTTGGTCAAAATCAAAAGGGTTAATTACACTTCTCACCTTTATAGTTTGATTCAAATTTCACTTTAGTCCCTATAGTTTCAAATTGAATAATTTGATCCCTACACTCTAAATCTAATTTCAGCTTGCTCATTCCATTCAAGTTTGAGGTTAAAGTTAACCATTTTGGGACACTTGTTAGTCTCCTGATACCCATGTAGGAAAATTAACGGGAAAGACTAAATTGAAATTGAATTAAAATCGTAGGGATTGAACTATTCAATTTGAAACTATGGACCAAAGTAAAATTTGAGTCAAAAGTGTAGGGGTTGAAAATGTAATTAACCCATACTTATATATATATAACTAAAATTACTAGTTTTTCACTTGTTCTATACATGAAAATTATTTAAAATATTAAGTAATAAATCTAATTTAAAAATATTATATTAGTGAATAATTCAAAAAAGTCGCTATTCCCACTCCACTTTATTCCAAATACACTCCCTTATTTGTCCTTAATATACATAGTTACTATTCCCACTCTACTTTGCTCCCAATACACTTCTTTTTATGAATAATGGCAAAAAAGAGAGTGTATTTGGAACAAAGTAGAGTTGTAATAACGGCTCCCTAATTCAATTATAATTTTTTTTAACAATATATTTTTTAAGCAATTTCATATGATTTTTATATTTGATATAAATCATAATTATTGAAATAGATTTTCCACAATTTCGATGAGTAATGTTATTAATTAATTTAATTTTTTTATGACATAATTGATTGAATGTAAAATTTGATCAATTTCAGTTCCAAAAAAATTATTTATCAAGAGGAAATTGTAACTCATATAGTTGACAATATCCTATACATAATTTATACATTTAGCAAATAATCATCCATTACTATTAAATAATTCACCACTTCAATTGTTTAAAAAAAAAATAGTGAAACTTTATTTTAGAATAAATCTAAGAACACAATCACCAAACACAGAGTGAGACACATATACCTCACACGAGGTAGATCCCACATGTAGGCCCCACACCATGTGAGAGATATGTGTCCCATTACGTGTTTGGTTATGTCTAGGGGTGCTCAGTGGATATTCCGATCCATCCAAACCGACCGAACTGATCCGATCCGCTGCATTTTGGATGGATGAGTGATGATGAGCGGACGGTTGCAGATTGATTTTTTCCAATCTACTTAATTTTGGACGGATGATAGATTTGAGGTTCCTTTGGCCTCAATCGAACCACCAAACCGCGAGCACCACTAGAAATTTGTAAGACTTTGTGTTTTCAATTTGTTTAGATGTTCTATTTGTGTTTTCAATTGAAAAAAGTTTAGATATTCTGCTGTGTTTCCAATTGAAAAAAAAGTTTATATATTCTATTGTGCTTTCAATTTGGAAGTCCTTTTATCAAATGGCAAGTGTTGATATTAAGTATTTTTATATGGAAAATATAAGGCTTAATTTTGTCATTTAAAAAAAATTAAATAGTTTTTGAATGAAAAAAGAAGTAATGAAATAGTTTTGATAATGCATGATTTTCTTATATGTATTTATTATTGGTATTTGACAATTTATTTGATAATCTTTTGGTTATGTTGAGTTGGATTGCTATTTTTTTTAAAAAAATAATGTTGACAAGTTATTGTATTATGCTTCAAAATTTGTAAAAGTTTAAACTGTCAAACCGATTCGCATCCATTCGCCAATCCGCTCAATTCGCATCCGCCAATCCGGCGGACAAATGAGGATTGATTTTTTGAATCTGCCAATCTGGTGGACAGATGGCAGATTTGAGGTTCCACGGCTGCAACCGAACCATGAGCACCCCTTGTTGTGTCCCGAGCACTACTCTTCTTTTTAAACTACTAATACAATAATGTAATGTTTGGGTTATTGAAATGAAATTGAATAGAATGAAATGGTCATTCCTCATCATCTCTATAGAATGTTCTCTCAATGTTGAATAATTATTCTATTTATAATATATATTTTCTCATTTT